AATGAATAAAAAGAGATGATAATCATAATGGTAACAACAACAATAATAAATCTGACCCCAGTCAGTTTCCACACTCAGAGCAAGGGGAATCAAATGGTGTTTGCCACCTCAGCCTGCTTGGATCAAGAACTGTCTCTCTCTCTCTCTCTCTTTGTGGTACTTATCAGGGGTCCCTCACCGGAAAGCCGCAGGTGCCTTCTTCGTAGCCGTGACCGCTGCAGTTCTCCCCTCCGTGTTCCGGGGAAGGGTTGTTGCACCGCCGCGACCGCCGCACGACTCCCAATCCACAGGAGACGGGACACGGGGTCCACGAGGCCCAGGGAGACCATGCGCCATCCACTAAGGCCAAGGACAAACCGTAGTTTAATCTCCTGAGACCGAGAGGCGGCTCAGAAAAAAGGCTGCAAGACTCCCGCTAGCGACTTTCAGAGCCTTGCCGGTGTGGGACGACGGGGAGTTGCGAATCCCACAATCCCCGGGATGGGGGGGGGAAGCGTCTTTCCCACTTCCACAACCATCTTTTGGGGGGAGAGGGGTACTGCACAGGTCTGAACAAGCAGAGAGGGGGGGTCAGTAAAACACTCAGCAATGGATTACGGGATCATTAAAAGGAGAAGATGATTAGAAGCTCCTTCCCTGTTGAAGGAACTGAGGAGTCTACTCAGGAAGTATCTCTGAAAGGATGAACCCGTGAGTCGCGGGTCGGGAGTCCTCATTAAATACCGGCACAGTGGCTCGAGTGGCACAATCCGAGTTGCTCCTTCTCGCCCGCGCAAGGGAGACCTCCTCTGGAAGCGGGAGGACTGTCACATAACCGGACCCGTTTCTTGATCCCCGAACACGTCTCCAGGCACACCGACCAAGGGGACCACACCGACCAGCCGCCGTCAGCTGAGGCGAGGGTAGACAGAAGCAGAAACAATACTACAGAGGTGGTCTGGGACCAAGTAAAACAGATTTCTTAGTTCTCGACTTGCGACTGAAGTGGAGCCTAACCCGTTCGGAGAGTTTTGTCCCGTTTTGCGACCTTTCTTGTCATAGTTGTTAAGCGAATTCCTGCGGTCGTTAAGTCAGTTGTTCAGTGAAACTGGCTTCCCCCCACCCCCCGACTTGGCCGGTCAGAAGGTTGCAAAAAAAGGGTACGTTGCGACCGTCGTAAATACGAGTCGGTGGGCGAGCATCTGAATTTTCGATCGCACGAATGCAAGGTTTTTGCAACAGTCGTCAGCGTGAGAAACACGTTCCTTCGTCCCTTTTTTTTCCCTCAGGGCCGTTGCAATTCGACTTATGACCTCACCCTGCTTAAGAAGGGAAATTCCAACCCCCTAACATGGTCATAAGTTGAGGACTTCCTGTAACCCCACCGATTTTTGGCCGAAAGGGGAAGAGCATTGGGACTGGAGCCAGGGGGCTCCCTTCTGTAAGGGGAACCATATATAAAACACTAGCTGGATACTAGTAATGTACCAATATAGTATATACTATATATATATAGTATATACTAATATATACTAGTAATACACTAATATATATATATATTGATTTTTCAAAAATTTATTCTCCAGACGGCGAAGAATACGGACTTACTGGGGCAAGGCTGCAGGTTGGGGCACCCCTTGAGGTCAGCCGAAGGGCCCAGGCAGCGCATCCCGCTCTCCTCGTGGGTGCACTTGCGGATACGCATCCGATTTTGGATGCCGCAAGTGACGGAGCAGGGCGACCACGGCGACCACGGCGACCAGGTGCTCTTGGCTAGGCGGGAGAGGAAAGAAAAGAAAAAAAAACACACACAGGTAGACCTCATCTAACAACAGAAGTCTGGAAAGGGGCCTCGGGAGCCCAGGGAGGAGGCCATTTTCGCCCTCCCAGAGTCCTGAGGGAAGCCTCGGGACTCTGGGGAAGGCGGAAAACGGCTCTCCCAGAAGTTCCGGAAGGCCGCGCACGCCATGGCCACGGCCATCCAGCAACCGGACAGCCGAACCGGTCGCTGGGACTTTTGAACCCCACCCCTGGGTTTACCTGCACAGCGTGAGCCGTCGCCCACGAAGCCGCTCTGGCAGGCGCAGAGGTAGGAGCCCAGGGTGTTCAAACACAACACGCCTCGGTTGCACTTGTGGGTGCCTCTCGTACATTCGTCGACGTCTTGAGGAAAAAAGAGGGCGGGAAAACCAGAAGTAAAATAAAGCGGCGGAAAACACGGAAGCGGGCCAAAGTCATTGCTTCATAGCAGAAGTACCTGTGAAGGGAGGTCCAACATGGAACCCACAATCATATACAGGTAGTTCTAAGACTACTTACAACCAGGGGTCTCCAACCTTGGCCCCTTTTAAGACTTGTGGGCTTCAACTCCCAGAATTCCCCAGCCAGCCTGGCTGGGGAATTCTGGGAGTTGAAGTCCACAAGTCTTAAAAGGGGCTAAGGTTGGAGACCCCCGACTTAGACAAACTCACTAAAACCTCATCGGACAAGTGAGAATTTTCTCCCTACCTACGCAGCGGAGTAGGCCGTCTCCTTCTAAGCCCCGAGGGCAGCGGCAGAAATACGACCCGTAGGTGTTGGTGCAGGTGGCCTCAGCCAGGCAACTCGGGGCTGTTTTCCTTTCACACTCATTGATGTCTTTGGGAGGGGAAAAAAGGAAGAGGAGGAGGAGGAGGAGGAGGAGGAGGAAGATGAAGGAAGAAGGGAGATGAAGGGAGATGAAGGAAGAAAAAAGAAGAAGAGGAAGATAAGGAATAGTGGAAGAGGAGGAGGGGGAGGAAGAGGAATGGAGTAGAGGAGGAGGAATAGAGAAGTAGTGGAAAAAGAGTGAGGAAGAAAGGGAAAAGGGGGAAAGAAAAAGCGGAAAGGAATGGGAGAGAAGGAGGAGGAGGAGAAGTGAAGGAAAAGGTACAAGGAAGGCAGAAAGGAAGAAAGGAAAGGTGATAAGGAGAATGGAAGGAAGGAAGGGAAGGGGAGGGAAGAAGGAAGGAAGGCGAGAGAGAGAGAGAGAGAGAGAGAGAAATAAAAATACACTATTTATTAAAAAAATTGGGCAGAATTATAATCGTAAGGGGAGGATAGAAAACAGAATTTGAATACTTCGAACGTGATGTTGATATTGAACACTGATAATATTCTGAACATTAAAAACCTTTTTTAAAGAAAGATAATAATAAGGATCGATAATAATACTACAGCCATACTACCTCCCCATTTATCAATCTGCTGCTTTTGATCTGAGAGGTTACTAATCTGGGATCCTTTGCTGGAGAATCCACAGGCTCTCTGAGTTGTTTATTTTTTTTTTCTAGGGGATTTCCTATCATTTTAAAATCTCCTTTTCGGTTACAAAACCTACTTCGGTAACCGTGGCTCTGAGCAGATTTCCATCCTCGCCAATGCTAAGAACCCAGACCCAGAAACACACAGCTACCAAGAGATAAAGGTCAAAAGTTACCGACACAATGCACACCCCTTCTTTCGAACCCCGGGTGACAACGGCAACGCCTTCCTTCTCCACTTCCCTTGCAGGTTTTGCTGGCGTCTAGAAACAGAGGCGACATGGTTTGCCTGTTCCGGGTTTCCCATGCAGTGTCAAATCAGAATTAACCCAGTCCAATTAAACCGAGATTAGGACGCTGTCCGGGAATTCGAAGAGACAAGAGGGAAAAAAAACCACTACCTTTTTTTATGAAGAAGAGCCTTTCCGCTACCAAAACACGCCCAGGAACCTCCGAATGGAAATCGTAAACCAGGGCTCGGACGTAACCAAAACTGGACTCCCTGCAAGATGGAAAGAAGGGAGAAAAAACACACAGCAAACATTGGCCAATTCTGGAAAAAAGAGAAAAAAGGCTTGCAGAAAATTTCCTGAAAAGGGGCAACATTTTTATCGATCCCAAACAGAAAGCTATTTTTGTTTCCTCTTTTGGATTTGCTCTGCTTCTGTGGAGTCCCTGGTGCTCTCTGAGCTGGGTTGTCTGCTTGCAAACGTTTCATTCCCTGACTAGGTAACCTCATCAGTGCCAGGGAGTGTGGGGTTTGTTCCTGGTTTGTTATATAGTAGGCTGCCCTGCCTCTATTGGTGGAGGTGTTTTCTCCTTACGTAGCCGTAAAGAACTATTACAATCGCTTTAAACGTGATCAGAAAAAAAAAAAAAGATTTTTGCCTGTTGTCGAAGTCTAGAATATTGGTTGTCTCAGTCATTAACGTCCACAGTTTTAAATTCTAACTTCACTTCTGTGGGCCTCACCCCGTATTTCAGAGATCCCCAAGGGGGATGTGTGTGAGGGCACTAACGTATCCATCGTCCCTGTCACGTTTTAATTTTTGCCCTTTGCTCGCTCGAATTTGTAATTTTCATTTGACGAAGAAATGTAAATAAATCAACGAGACGATTGTTTTCTGCTCGGTCGTTTGTCTGGGGTTCATCACCGCTTATCTCCAATGCATTGCCTGCTGGAAGGGAGGAGCTCTGGTCTTTTTGTTTCCTAGCTTTTCCTTCCTAGCTTTTTACTGCCTCTTTTAAATGGCGCGTAAACGTGGTTTTCTCTCTATGTGTCTGGTGATGGCTCTCCTTCTACAAACAGGAAGGGCTGGATGAACGGCTAACCCGCCTCTTATTTTACCAGCAGACAGCGAGCAAGCCAGCCTACGTTAAACCGCTGATCTCCATCTTTTCCACGTCGTCGGCAATGACCACAGCTTGGTCGTCCCTCAGGGTCAGCGGGCGTGGTTCCTTGATCCACTGAACGAAGCTGGAAGGCGAGAGGTGAAGGTACTCAGGTAAGCGGAGGGCCACTGTATCTCCTTCCAGAAAGGGTCCAACCTCTTTTGGGTGGGGGGGGAAGAAGGGAAACAACGAAGAAATCTCTCAATGTTCCATTGCATCAAATTGGAAACGTGTCAGGGAAAAGAAAGGGGCTAATTCCCTTCTGGAAATTAATCAGGTAAGACAAGAAGGCAAAGAGGAAAATCTTATAGATATAATTTTATTCTATGTTCCTATTCTATTCTATTCCATTCCATTCCATTCCTAATTTATTCTATTCTTCATCTATCCTATCCTATCCTATCCTATCCTATCCTATCCTATTCCATTCCATATTCTATTTTATTCTATATTCTACTCTTTTCTATTCTATTCTACATTCTATTTTCTATTATTTTTTATTTTTCATTTTCTATTTTCTATTCTAAATCCTCCTCCTCCTCCTTCTCTTCCATTCCATTCTTTATACATAAGTTACTCCTCGCCCTACCCTTAGGTACTTTGGAGAATAGTTGGCCCCCTCTTCTCTGTGGCAGCCCTGCAAATATTGGAAGATGCTATCATGTCACCCCCGGTCCTTCTTTTCATTAAACTAGAGTCACATACCCAATTCCAGCAACTGTTCTTTATATGTTTTAGCCTCCAATCCCCTAATCATCCTGGTTGCTCTTCTCTTTGCACTCTTTCCAGAGTCTCAACATCTTTTTGGTAATGTGGCGACCAAAACTGGATGCCATATTCCAAGGGTGGTCTTACCAAGGCATTGTAAAAGTGATTGTCAGGATTCCAGCAATCGCCCTAATTAAATCATGATTCTCAAGCCAAACTTCAAAGGATTTATTAGAGGCGACAGAGTGGCCCTGCCCTGTATGAAGCCAACTCTGGCCTACGTCATTTATAGCCCACGGTGACCCTGTTTCCCCCACTCCCCCCTGGGTGTGTCATAAATCAGATTCTCCAATCGAGCCCATTTACGGGCCGGGTTGTTATCAATCAGGTTCTCCAATTAAACATATTTGCGGGCAAAAGCTCCGGTAGCTTAGCTACACTCTTTTCAAGATAAAGAGTTGGAATGTACTTCCGCTTTCAAACTGCTGCACTGCCCTTCCAGATTTTCTTCCTGCCTCGCCCTTTTTTTTTGGCAACTACTAAAACAGGCATAGGAATGTTTGATGAGTTGACAGGGATAGTAACACTTTATTCTATCCCTCTGTTAATGCAGCCAAGGATTGCATTGGCGTTTTTGGCTGCTGCAGCACACGGCCGGCTCCTATTTAAGTGATCGTCCTCTTCCCGTTACTTCTATTGAACCAGGTATCACCTGTTCTACACCCGCGTGTTGAGTTTTTCCTGCCTAACTGCCAGACGGCGCTTTTCTCACCACGCCCTCCATCTTACCGATCGATTCTCCCTCCAGGGCGAAATAGAACCTCAGTCCAGAAGGGTTTAACATTTGAAAGCGGGTTAAGTCGTACGCTTCAATTCCCAGAGTTTTGGGGGTCAGGGTGCAGAGCTTCACTTCTGCCCAGAAAAGATTGGGGTAAAAATCATCGTCCTGGATCGTGAGGAGGGTCAGGATATGGCTACGGTTGTGCACCGTTATCCTCAGAGTCCTGTTTCCCATGGATCCCAACCGCTGTCGGTAGCTACGAGAAAGAAAAAAAAACCGCTTTGTTTAAAAAAAAAAAAAGCATACGAAAAACTTACGACCAGAACTGAGCTCAAAATTTACATTGCAAAGGGAGACCTTTGTTAAGTGAGTTTTACGACAACAAGCTGCCATAAGTCAAGGACTACCTGTACCTTGGAAATTTCCTGCCTTCCAATGAATACCCGTAATTTTAGCTGTTCCCAAACAGACGCTCTTCTGTTTAAGCCGGAGAAACCTTCCACGGCGCAACCTCACCTGTGGTACTGCGGGCTCTGTCCGTTGTAAAACTTGTACCAGATCACGCTGGGCGAACGTCGGTGGGCGGAAGACGAGACGGAGACGTGGAAAGTGACGCGCGGCTCTTTCAAGTGGAGGAGGCACACCTGCTCGCCCATCTCGTCACAAACGGAAGCGTCAGAAACGGTGATGTGGAAAGCGGGGGCTGCAAAACGATAAGGAAGGTGAATTTTGGGATTAAAAATACAACCCAGAAATAGTCCCAAGCAGGCTACTTTAAAAAAAATTTAAAAGTACAAATAGATGACAATCCTTTTCTTTCTCTTTTTTTCTATTTCTATTTCTTTTCTTTTTCTTTCTTTTGTTTCTTTCATTTTCTTTCTTTTTTCTTTCTTTCTTTCCTTCTCCATCAAGCCCAGAAATAGTTCCAAGCAGGCTACTTTAAACTTTTTTAAAAAACTACAAATAGATGCCAGTATTGTTTTTTCTTTGTTTCTTTTCCTTTTTCTTTCCTTCTTTTTCTTTCTTTTCTTTTCTTTCCTCTTCTTCTTTTCTCTTTCCTTTTTCCTTCCTTCCTTCTCCATCAAGCCCAGAAATTTTTTTTAAAAGTACAAATAGATGCCAATATTTATTTATTTTCTTTTTCTCTTTCTTTTTTCGTTTTCTTTCTTTCTCTTTCTTTTCATCTTCTCTCTCTCTCTCTCCCTCTCTTGCTTTTTCTTTCTTTCTTTCCCTTCTTTCTCCATCAAGTTCCCTGAATTCTCCTGCCACCATAATTCCCAGCCGTGACTTGGTGGGCTTTGTATCCCAGAGTTCCACCGGGCGTTGAGGAGAATGCTGGGAGTTGAAGTCCCCACACCCTTGGAAGCTGCTGAGGTCACCTAAAAGGACGTGAGTGGGAAGGAGAAAGAGACGAGTGGGACTTGCCTTGGCAAAGATGGATCCCGTCTCCGTCGTAGCCTGGCAAGCAACGGCAATAAAACTCCGAAGAGAGAGCATCCAGTTGACAAATCGCTTTCGGGTGGCACAACATTTTCCGGCGAACACATTCAGGTTTATAAGGATCTAAGGAGCAGAAGAGAAAAAAAAATAGAGATGGGGGGAAAAAACACTACTACACAGGTAGTCCTCGACCTACAACAGTTCATTTAGTGACCGTAGTTACAACGGCACTGAAAAAAAAAAGCTTCATTTACTGAGTGTTCTGTGTTTATTTAGGATACGTGTTATTCTCTACTCTATTTTCCAAAATGATGTAGGGTCTCCCACTTAAGCGGGGGGTTGGACTAGATGACCTATAAGGTCCCTATAAGGTCCCTTCCAGCTCTGATTATCTGTTATCTGCTTCCCATGAACGAGGGAAGCCAAGCCAAAAACAAGAACGACAGCACCAGAAATTCATGATCACTTGTTTTATTGAGTGATTTTAAGAGTCTTATCCCGCCTTTGTTACTTGATAAGTAACTCAAGACACCCGTATTATTTTGAACCGGCCATTTTGAGGGGAAATAACTCACCATTAATCAGGTTTTTACCCTGCAGGGTGGAGAGGATGATGAAGAGGAGAGGAGAAGGCAGGAGAGCCTTCGGCATTTTGCTCAAGGGAGTCTTCCTTCCCCCCTGTGAACCCCTCATCCTTTGGCCGAAGAACGCAAGCGAACCGCCAGCAGCCCGTCCATCTGCGTCCGGTCGGAACGCGCGAGAATCCAGAGTCCGTTAAACCGTTCTGAAAATTCCAGTTCTGGATTCTACCCACCCCCCAAGAGATTTCATCATCTCCAAAGTGGCATCGTGGGGGGAAAAAGGCCCCAAAAGACGGGCCGGATGAAGAGACCTGGATGAAAAAAAAAAAGGGGGGGCGGCAATGCGTGGCTAAGAGATTCCCCAAACGGAATCGAACCCTTTCCCCAGTGCGAGGCCAAAATGAAGAGCTTGAAGAGGTGGGCAGAACGAAGGATGAAAAACATCCGTGGCCTTCCTTGCTCTGGCAAAATATCCACCGGTCAAGGAACCCCAGGGGGCCTTTAGCATCCCCCCCCCCCAAAAAAAAAATGATTTGGCAAGGTTGATGTAGGAAATGACTAGGCTGAGCCCGAGGGAGGGAGGAGTCAAACACGTTATCGATCTCGAGTCATCTTCGCCTCCACAAAAGTCCAATTCACCTTAAATTATGTTGACTTTTATCTACTACCAATTTGCTTTGAATAGTTGGACCCCCTCTTCTCTGTGGCAGCCCTTCAGATATTGGGAGGCTGCTCTCATGTCTCCCCTAGTCCTTCTTTTCATTAAACTAGACACCCCCGGTTCCTGCAATGCCGTCCTTCGTATTGTTTCACCCTTCCAGGCGCTTCGATCAGTCCTAGTTGCTCTTCTCTCCACTTTTTCCAACGCCTCCATTGCTTTTTTGTAATGCCGGGGACCAGAACTGGATGCAGGTGTGGCCAGACGAAGGCTAATTTATACAGCTAGTAATTACTTCAGCTAGTAATCCTACTGACTTCAATTAACAATCCTACTCACGCACAAGCAAAGGGAAGGAGGAAAAAAAATGCGAGTGCCATCGTTTAATTGGAGACAGGAAAAGCAACAGCTCAGGAGCAGAATAAGAAATTCAAGAGTTTTCTTTTTTGGGTGGGGGGAAGGTTGTTGTTTTTTTCCTAAAGGGGGGGCTGGTTATTTCCCTCCGCCTTTTTTCTTATGAGTCGGTGGTGGGGCAGGCTCGGAGCTGAGCGACGGGACCTTCACGCCTTTCTGCTTCAGCATTTGATGGAAATCGAGGCGGTCAGTGATGATTTTCTGAAAGACAGGGGCGTCCGTCAGGAAGGTGTGGGGGGAGGGACAGCCTCGCCGGGCCAGGAGTCTCCCCCCCCCGGCCCCACGCCCACACCCGCCGCTGTCTTTCCACCATCCCGACGACTCCAGGGTTACCTGCAAGGCCTCCAAAACCTCCTCATCGGTGATTTCCGCCTGTGGGGACTTGGTGCCGGGTGTGCTGTAAGCGGCTTGGATGATTTTGCTGCGGAACCTTTCGAACTTTCAAAAGAAAGAGAGAGAAAGAGAAAGAGAGAGAGAGAAAAGAGGGAAAGCGTAAAAACCGGAACGCAGAATGGGAGGAACAGGCAGCCGCTGGGGACTTGCTAAGGTTTGATATTTGCTTCCCTTCAAGGTCGAGCACATTAGAGCCCCCAGAGTCAGGCAGGCTAATGCTGGCATGTTTTCCCCCAAAAAATAAGACCCGGTCTTGTATTATTAATTTTTTTGCTCCAAAAGACGCGTTAGAGATTGTAACTTGAGGCAGCCGGGAATTCTGGACTCGAAAATCCTCTATTGGAGCATGTGATTGATGACCTCTAGCTCAGGAACACGTCCCATGGGACAATCTGAATTAGGATACGCCCAGAAGGGTGGGGTGGGGATGGAAACAGGGTCATAGAGTGATTGTAAGTTACATATCTCAGACTCGATGTCCTACAGATCATGCCAGTAGGTTGCTCCTAATAAAATCTTTGAAGTGTTGCCCGAGGCTCGCGATTTAATTCGGGCGATCGCCGGAATTCTGGCTTTATTTTCTAGTTAGGTCTTATTTTCAGGGAAATACGATACTAAACGCGTCCGTCTGGCTGATGATCTTAACTGGGGCTTATTTTCAGGGTAGGGCTTATATTACGAGCATCCCAGGGGAGGAAAAATCATACTAGGGCTTACTTTTCAGTTGGGACTTATTTTCAGGGAAACAGGGTGTTTTTATTATAAGGATACAGTCTAGGTAGTTCTTGGATTGCCACATTTAGTGACCATTCAAAGTTACGACGGCACTGAAAAAAATGACTGAGTTTTTGGGGGGTTTTGGCAGCTGCAACACACCGCTGGCTCATAGTTAAGTGATTGTTACTAAGACACCTAAGGAAGCAGTTACTGCTCTTGAGCCAGGTAGAGGTAGCCAACTTACAACGGCTTGTTTAGTGACCATTTGAAATGACAACAGCACACTTATGGCCATGGCAGCGTCCTTGCGGTCATGCGATCAAAATTTGGACACCTGGCAAACCGGTCCCTATTTATGACGGTCACAGTGCTTTCCCCCCCCCATTCCCCCCCCCCCCCGGGTCCCGGGATACGCTTTTGCGACCGTCTGAGCAGCAAAGTCAACGAAGGAAGCCGGATTCACTTAATGACAGTGTTCCAATCTTACCCGGGCGCTGACGCTCTCCAGGGTGACTCTTGTCTGCTGCTCCGCCCGTTGCAAAATGTCCAGCTGCTTCTGGAGTTCATCCTGGCTGGTCAGTTGCTGACCGGTATGGTGCTTGTTCACCAGTAACTCGGACTGAAGCTGCTGGACGTTGGTTTGTAACGTGTGCATGGCCTGGTCTCTGTCTGCCAGCTGGACTTCCAGCTTGGTCACTTCCTGGGCAGGAAGGAAGAGGAGGAGGGGGAAAAAAAAAAGGGCAAATTATAGAGAATCCGGTTATTTTTGCAGTCATTTACATGAAATGGGTACATATAAGAAAAATAAAAGAAAAATAAAAGAAACAACAGGACAGGGGCGGTAGGCACGTTGGTGCGCTTATGCACGCCCCCTCACAGACCTCTTAGGAAAGGGGTGAGGTCAGTAGTAGACAGTCTGAGGTTAAAGTTTTTGGGGTTTGGGGAAGAAACTACTAAGTCGGGTAGAGTATTCCAGACATTGATCGCTCTGTTGCTGAAGTCGTATTTCCTGCAATCAAGTTTGGTGAGGTTAACCTTGAGTGTGTATCTATTGTGTGCTCTTGTGTTGTTATGGTTGAAGCTGAAGTATTCATTGACAGGTAGGACATTGCAATGTATGATTTTATATACCATGCTTAAATCAGACCGAAGACGGTGTAATTCAAGGTTTTCTAGTTCTAGAATTTCAAGTCTGGTGGCATAAGGTATTCTACAACGAGTAGAGGAGTGGAGAACTCTTCTTGTGAAATATTTCTGGACTTTCTCAATTGTGCTAATATCAGATACCTAATGTGGGTTCCAGACTGATGAGCTGTATTCGAGTATTGGTCTAGCCAATGTTTTGCATGCTCTAGTTAGTAGTGTGATATTACCAGAGAAATTTACCTAAACTAAAAATAGGAAGAGAACATAGGAAGAGAAATAGAACATAGGAATAGAACAGAACGGTTAGTTAGTTTACTTTATTGTCACTGCACCTTGTACAATAAAATTAAATGCCATCTTCAGTGTAGATTATAACTATATCAAAATAAAACACAAATGCACCTCCTTCGCATTCTATACAATTGAATTAAAAACCCCTGATATTGCATTAACCGTACACAGGAGTTGATTGGGTTTACGGAGTGGGGCCAACCCAAACACCCAACCAAGAACAGAAATCTCCTGAGAAGATATCCAAGGAAAGAGGGGGGCTGGGGTGTTCCTTTACCTGTCGAAGTTTGCAATTCTCTCTCTCGATGGTGCCCATCATTTCTTCGTTTTTCCTCTCTTCCCGCAAGTTGGAAAACTAAGAAGGGAAAGGCAGCGCTTGTGAAAAGTTCCTGCGCTGGGGATCTCCAACGAGCAAGTTTTATTTTATTTTATTTTATTCGTTTTTGGAATAAAACGTGTCTTCCCAACCAGATTAGTCAGGAGAACGCTGTAGCTGCCCCCCCCATCCCAAAAAGCCATCCTAGGTTGCATCAACAGAAGGACAAAAGTCAAGATGACCAAGAAAGCCTCTTAGGCTAACAAAGAAAAAAAAAATCAAGATGTATTCTGTATTTTGATCACCAAAAAATATATATATTTAATTGTAAAAACAAAATAAAAAAGCAAGCCTGTTGGATTTGAGCTTCCTTCTCTTTTATCTTTTGTTTTATCTTTTCCAAATTGGGATTCCTTTTTCTTTTGGTCTCTTCTTCCTCTCTTTCAAAATGACTTCTGTTGCCCGTCACACCCACACAGCTAGTCCTCCACTTAGAACAGTTTATTTAGTTTCCGAAGTTAACAGCGCTGAAAAAAGGTGATCTAGGACCGTTTTTCACCGCTCCAGAAGTGCTGAGTTGCTCCAACATGGGAGGTTTTAAAGAAGAGATTGGAGAACCGTTTATCTGAAATGGTATATAGAGGCTCCTGCCTGAGCAGGGGGGTTGGACTAGAAGACCTCCAAGGTCCCTTCCAAATCTGTTACGCTCTTCTGTTCTGTTCTAAATTCAGGATGGCTTCCTTTGCAAGCCGAGCCGCTAAACTCATTGGGGGCAGAGTGCGAATCCCAACCCTGTAAAAATCCATTTTTCCTCGACCGCCCGGGAGCAGAGGTGCTAATTCAGCCGGTTCAGACCAGTTCTCCAGAACCGGTAGCGGAAATCTTGAGTCGCTTGGAGAACTGGCAAATCCCACCTCTGACTGGCCCCGCCCCCATCTATTCTCCGCTTCCCGAGTCCCGGCTGATTGGCTGGGTCTCCTTCGGTTGCCCTGCCCAGGAGAACGGAGCTGGAAAGCAGGTTAGTGGGGTAAGGAGGAAAGCGGGATTTTGCAGTATATCTTTCCCCTGCCACGCCCACCAAGCCATGCCACGCCCATGAAGTAATGCCCACCAAGCAACGCCCCACACATCAGTACTACTACCGGTAGTAATTTACTACAACCTGTAGTAATTTATTACTACCAGTAGTAAAAAAAAAAAAAATTTGAATTCCACCACTGCGCTGGGACTGTCCTGCAGGCCGAGCCCGTGTGACCGAACCTTATTCGACATGGCCTCCAGCTGTTTGCCTCGTTCCCCGAGTTCCTTCTGCAAAGCTTCTTTTTCCACCTCGGCTTTGCGCAGTTGGGATTCCTCGAAAGACAGCTCTCTTTGCAGGGATGAAATCGCGCCTGTGGAAGCAAGTGGGAGGCAGGAGAGGAAGCCCACCCACCCACCTTTCCACCCCATGCTTCCTTTCTCAGCCTTTTTTTTTACAGGCGGTCCTGGACTTAGAACAGTTTGCTTAAGGTCTACTCAAGGCGACATTTTATTCCGCATTCCTATTCTACTCGACTCCAGGGGTCGCCAACCGGTGGGCCGGGGATCGCTGGTGGTCCGTGAGAAAATTTGGGTGGTCTGCAGGGAAATGTCACACACACCCCCAAAGCAATTAAGGTGGAGTGTGAAGGATGTGTGTTTGTGTTTATTTTCATGGTCTTGAAGTGCACTGAGTTTGATTTCATTGTACAAGGTGCAATGAAAAGAAAGTAAATTAACTAACTAATCCAGGCTGTGCGGGAACACAAGGCTGCGCTGCTCACACATGGCCCGCGGGAACACAAGGCCTGCATCGCTTGCATTGCAAACAACGTGAGGTAGTGAGGGGAGGGGGGAAAGGGTGGAGGGGGGGAACTTGCCCCACGTGCCCCACGCACCTGGCCACCGGGCTGCTTTTTTCTTCTGCTTTTGGCTGCACGCAAGGAAAGCAGCCAAAGTCTTTCTTTCTCTCCCCCAAACTCCGCCAGAAATGAGTCTTTGGGGACCTTGCAAGGCCTCTTACTCCAAGAGGCTGCGCCCGCGTGACAACTCTCACAAAGACTCCTTTCTGGCGGAGTTTGGGGGAGAGAAAGAAAGACTTCTGCTGCTTCTGCTGTTTTCTTTGCATGAAGTCAAAAGTCTCTCCTCTTTCTCTCTCTCTCTCCCTGAGAACAGAGCTGGAGACATTATCCTGCGATCCCAAATAAAGAACGATCGATCGGTAGGAAAACGGAGTGGGGAATTTCCCTGCAGACTTTTTTTACGGATTTTCCCAGGGTCTCTGGTCCGCGGGATTTAAAACAATGAGTTTGGCGGTCCCTGAGATCCAAAAGGTGGCCGACCCCGCTCTACTTCACTCTTTATTTTCCCCTCCGAGTTCTCGAGGTGCCTAGGGATACCTGTGGCCAGCTCGTACTCGTTCCGCGCTTTCTTCAGCTCTTCGTAGAGGATCTCGTTCACTTTCTGGAACTCCAGCAGCTTGTAGAGGATCAGCGTGTTCTCCGATTCGTCCAGATCGCTCGAATCGCCTTCCCGCCCTTTGGATCCGCTGCTGGAGAGCATCTCATCGTCTATTTCCACCAGGCTCTTTTCAGCCACGTCGATGTTGCGGGAGGCGGCCGGGAAAGAGTGGGGTGTGGCGGGGGGGGGGGGAAAGAGGCGCGTTGTTGCGATGGTGATTGTGTTGTTGATTACAAAAGGGGAGGGGGGAGGGGAAAATGCCATCGTCTTTCTGAGGATTTAAGGATAGGGGAAGGCACCAGCTGTAACTGTGCTCTCTCTCTCTCTCTCTCTCATGAGAGAGCCAGCCCAAAGCCTAGACGGCTGAGTAGGAACAGTTGTTAAACGTGAATTTTGCCCCAGGTTTACGATCATCTTTGCTACGGTTATTGAGGGAATTCGCTGCAGTTGATTAGTTAGTTGCGCAGTTTCTTCCGTGAAATCGGACTTCTCGTCATTCTTTTGTTCGGTAGGGAAGTGTCTCCTGCTTGAGCAGCAGGTTGGGCTAGAAGACCTCTGAGGTGTCCCGTCCCCCCCCCCCCGCCAACTCTATCATTCTGTTATTCTGTCCACTTCGCTCATCAGGAGGTCGCCAAAGGTGAATCACCGCCTGACTCCCAGGGCAGGGCGAACCATCATATATACGAGTCCGTTGCCAAGCGTGGGAATTTTGATCCCGCAGGGAGGCTGCAACGGTCCTAAGTGTGAAAAACGGTCCTAAGTCATTTTTTTTTTCAGAGCCGTTGTCGCTTCGGTCGTTAAACAAACAGTTGCAAGTCGAGGACTATCTGTAATTCACTTTTGCTTTTTGCAATGCAGGTAATCCTCCAGTTACAACAGTTCATTTAATGACCAAAGTTACAACGGCACTGGAAAAAGCGACGGGACCATTTTTCCACCCTTACAACCATCGCAGCCTCCCCGCGGGATCAAAATTCCCACACTTGGGCAATGGATCAGTATTTATGACGGTCGCCGTGTCCCTGTGTGTGCGTGTCCCTGTGTGTGTGTCAGAACACTTCCACCGTGGTCGTAAGTCGAGGACCACCCTGCATTCCTATCCCGCCCACGCACTTTTCCAGATCTTTGACTGACCCCCGTGGGTTTTTTGGGGAGGAGGGGGTGGCTTCTACTAACCTCCTTCTCTAAGTGCTCAAGTTCCACCTGGTCTTTTAAGAGCTCCTTCTTCACAAACAGCGCTTTCGAATCCAACGTCTCCTCCGACTGGCTCAGCAGCTCTTTCAGGCGCTCAAACTCCTGGCTGGAGCCTTCCGACCGGTCGACCTGGTCCACGTAGACCGAGGGGATGCTCTTCTGCTCCAGCCCAAGGGAGGGCCAGGTGCCACACGTAGACGGCTGGTTGAGTTCCCATTCGGACCAAGCGTCCACTTTGGCACGCTTCTGGGAAGGAGGGTTCGAAAGCAAACTTGATGGATTATTTTTTGGGGGTTGGGGGGTGATGGGGTGGGGGTGGGTGAGGGTTCGGCCGTTTGGGCGATTCTGAACGTTTGGATTTACGGGAGGTAACGTGGGTAGCCCTCAACTTACGACGACAAGGGAGGCTGCCCGTGATGGCTGTAAGTTGAGGACTAGTCACGCTACCTTCTGCATTTTTCTCTAGTCTACTCCTATTCTATTTTTATTTTCTATTCTGTTCTATTCTAATTCATTCTATTCTATTTCTTATTCTTATTCCTATCCTATTCGATTTCGTTCTGTTGTATTCAATTCTAATCTAATCTAATTCTATTTTATTTCTTATTCTATTTTAATTCCAATTCGTTCTGTTCTATTTTATCCTATTCTAATTCATTCTATTCTAATCCATTCTATTTTAATTCTATTCGATTCTAATTCTAATTCATTCTATTCTAATTCATTGTATTCTAATTCATTCTATTCTAATTCTATTTTAATTCTATTCTAATTCATTGTATTCTAATTCATTCTATTTTAATTCTATTCTATTCTAATTCATTCTAATTCTAATTCATTCCATTCTAATTCTAAATCATTTTATTCTATTCTAATTTATTCTGTTCCATTCTAATTCTAATTCATTCTGTTCTACTCTACTTTACTCTACTCTATTTCTATCCTATTCCACTCCACTCCATTCTGTTCTATTCTCCCATGGCGTGAAGCAGTATATAAGCCTGCTGAAGGGCTTATTGCTAGTCCTGGTAATAAATCTTGTTAAAGAAAACTTTGGGAGGGGGAAAATAAATAAATAAAAAAAGGTCCCGGCAGCTATCGAGACAAGACTGGGAAGCAAAGAAAAGTGAGTGATTACCTCCTCTGAAATTCCCTCTAAAACAGTGGCCTGCCATTTCTGGAGCTGCTCCAACTGTTTCTGCATGGCCTGGACCTCTTCCCGCAGAACGGTGATCACGGCCTCCTTCCGGATACACTCGGCTTCAAAAGGAGCCAAGCGGGCAACTTCCTCTCCCATCTTATTGAGGCTCAGATCCTGGGAAGGGAACCAACCTTCCTTTAGCCCAACATCCGCACAAAACTGGGTTTCCTACTCTAGGCCTCTATGGCATTTGCAAGCAAACAACACCTGCCTGTTGTTCCACCTATCTAGGCCACACCTAGAGTCCTGCATCCAGTTTTGTTCACTGCACTATAAAAACGATGTTGAGAGTCTTAAAAGAGCGCAGAGAAGAGCAACCAGGATGATGAGGGGACTGGAGACTAAAAAGTACGATGAACGGTTGCAGGAACTGGGCCTGACTAGTCTAGGGAAAAGAAGGACCGGGGGAGACATGACAGCAGTCTTCCAGTATTTAAGGGGCTGCCCCAGAGAGGAGGAAGGGGTCAGGCTATTCTCCAAGGCATCTAAAGGCCAGACAAGGAATAATAAATGGAAACTGACCAAGGAGAGATTCAACCTGGAAATAAGGAGAAACTTTCTGACAGGGAGAACGATCAACCCGTCGAACAGAAGTTGCCCTCAGAAGTTGTGGGAGCTTCATCACTTGAGACTTTCAAGAAGAGACCGAACTGGTATCTGTCAGAAATGGTGTAGGGTCTCCAGCTTGGGTGGGTGGGGGGGGGGGGTTGGACTAGATGACTTCTAAGGTGCCTTCCAACCCGGTTCATCTGTAATCTGTTCCTTGCAAACTGCTCCCTTCGGCCCCTTTTCTGACTGATCAAATTGCCGCATGTTCATCTTTTAAAAGATGTCCTGCTTTTTAATGGAACTTTGGCACGTCGGAAAAGCAGCAAACAGGCTCCTGGTTTTAGGCCTTCGCCTGATCACGTCCCGAAACGCTGCTGGCCCAGCCTGTCTGCCCTCTTTTCCTCCCGCTGGGCTTGCGCTGGGTTCGAATCCTCACCTTGTCATGAAGCACGGGGATGTACCAGGGCATCCGGTTGATGGAGCGGGCTTTGAGCTGGCTGTGGGGGACGATGCCTTCTGTGAAGCTCTTCCACTTGGGCAAGACCACTTCCGAGGAGAAAGAGGGATAAACTGGGGAGGCGGAAAGAGAAACGTCTCAAGAGAACAGCCTGCCCCCCCTCCCCCCCCCCCAAAAGGCTTGCTGGGTCCCCTTCCCCGTCTTCGTTGGATGTGGGAGGAGCAGAGGCCGACCGTTAGGGGAGACGCTTTGGAGCTCCAGGGTGGAATTGAGGGGTCCTTGGTGCTCCAGGAGGAGGAGGAGAAGGGAGGGAGGAAGGGAGAGAGGGAGGGAGGGAGGGAGGGAAGGAAGGAAGGAAGGAAGGAAAGAAGGAAGGAAGGAAGGAAGGAAGGAAGGAAGGAAGGAAGGAGAGATGGAAGGAAGGAGAGGAGGAAGAAAGGAAGGAAGGAAGGAAGGAAGGAAGGAAGGAAGGAAGGAGAGATGGAAGGAGGGAGAGGATGAAGAAGGAAGGAAGAAAGGAAGGAAGGAGAGATGGAAGGAGGGAGAGACGGAGGAAGGAAGGAAGGAAGGAAGGAAGGAAGGAAGGACTGTGGGGCCCTTGGTGCTTTCTGAGCTTGGTGGTTTTCTTGTAGACGTTTCATGGCCCAACTAGGGAACATCATCAGTGCTAGAAAGGAATGGGGGAGGAGGAGGAGGAGGAGGAGAAAGAGAAGGAGAAAGGAAAGAGAGAAGGGGGAGGAGAAAGGAGAAACAGAAGGGGATGGAAAAGGAGAAAGAGGAGAATGAAGATGAGGAGAAAGAGAAGGGGAATGAGAAAAGGAGAAACAGAAGAAGAGGAGAAAGAAAGGGAAAGGAGAAGGAGAAAGGAGAGGAGAAAGAGAAGGGGAATGAGAAAGAAGGAGAAAAAAGGAGAGAAGAAAGAGAAGGGGAATCGGTTGACGAGGAGGAGGAGGAAGAGGAGAATAAGAATTATGGGGTCCTCGGCTAAAGCCCACACATCACCAGGTTGACAGAAGTGCTATAAACCTCTTCTGTTTTGAGGGAGGCTGGTGGGAAGAAAACCTGTAATTGAAGCCAGACAAAGAAACTTACATCTGATGCGGCTCCTCGAGTCCCAAATTTCGGGATTTTGGACCAGGGAATTCCAGTTGTCGAGGGAGATCTGGGAAGTGAGGCTCATGGTGCTGATGTTGACAGGGAGATCCCCAGATTTTGAAGTGCTGCTTTCTGGGGAGGAGAGGAAGGGGTGAGGAATTGGGACAGCGAGCAGAGGATTCAATCCCAACTCTTTTCCCAGGTCTGGGGTGGTATCAGGTCTCCTGCCTCGGGTCAGGGGGGGTTGGACTAGAAGACCTCCAGGGTCCCTTCCAGCCCTGGGATTCTAGGTGACTCTTCGATAAGCTTGAAAAAAATGTGGATTCACACTGCGCTAAGCAGCTGCCTGCATTAGCACCAAACATGGACTGATCGTCCTTGAGTTACAACCCCCAGTTTAGTGGCCGTTTGAAGGGACAGTACTTTCCAAAAGGACCATTTTTCACACTTAACGACCGTCGCAGCGTTCCTCCAGGCTCACATGGCCCAAATTCAGGCGCTCGGCAGCTGACTTGTATTTACGATGGTCGCAGCATTTGTGTGCCTACGCGATCCCCTTTTCCAACCAATAGGGGTGGGGAAAAGCTGGATTCACTCAACAAAACGTGGGTCTCACTTAACGGCAGCAGGGATTCCCCTGAACGACCGGCCACCAAACTGGGGCGAGAGGTTCTGTTTCACGACCGTCTCTAAAGCAGCGCACGGAGGCCAAGCCAGGGACAAAATGGACACCGGCCAAATGGATTTTTTTACCGAGAGGGACTGCTGACGTCGCCTGGTTGCAATACTGAGGACATCCGGGCCGTTTCAAGAAGCATTTCTGCAGCAACGAGGAGTCAGAAAAATCATTGACTGTATTGGAGATCTTCCTTTGCTCCTTGCCCTGGGAGACGAGAGAAAGTCAAACTCTCAACGCCTTCGGCTTTGGTCAGGATTGTGGTTTGTGTACAGGGATTAAAAACTGACAATATCAACAGCATATGAAGAGAATTTGTACAAGGTGTTTTATAGAGCAGTGGTCGCCAACCAGAGGGACGTGGTCCACGAAAAGATTTTGGTGGTCCGCAGAGAAATATCACCCCCCAAGCAATTAATCCAGGCTGCACGGGAACACAAGGCTGCGCAGCCCACATGGCCCGCGGGAACACAAGGCTTGCGTTGCTTGCATTGTGAACAACACGAGGTAGTGAGGGGAGGGGGGGAAGGGCAGAGGGGGGGAACTTGCCCCACGCGCCTCACCTGGGCACCGGGCTGCTTCTTTCCACTTCTTTCTTCTTCCGCTTTTGGCTGCACGCAAGGAAAGCAGCCAAAGTCTTTCTTTCTCTCCCCCAAACTCCGCCAGAAATGAGTCTTTGGGACCCTGCAAGGCCTCCTGCTCCACGAGGCTGTGCCGGCAAAGACTCATTTCTGGCGGAGTTTGGCGGAGAGAAAGAAAAACTTCTGCAGCTTCTGCTGCTTTCCTTGCATGAAGCCAAAAGTCTCTCTCTCCCCCCTGAGAACGGAGCTGGAAACGGTATGCTGCGATCCCAAATAAAGAACGATTAATCGGTAGGAAAACGGGGTGATTTCACTGTCCCAGGAGTCACCGGATCCCCTTTTGCGATCTTCTGACCAGGGATGTCGATGGGGGAGCAGGATTGACTTAACAGCCTTGTTACTCACTTAACGCCGCCGGTGATTCACTTAACCACGGAAACTTGTAAAATGGGCAAACGAACAAATCTCTCGCTTGGCTCAATTGTGGCCGTTAAGTCAAGGACTACCTGTATTAATACCTACCCCAGTATTAGAACGATTAATGCCCCCCTTTTGCAAATCCGCTTACCTGTTTCTCATAATAACGCTTGACGGCATGAAATGCTTTGCTGGGATGAATTTTGTCGCTGTCTGGATGATTCCACACAAGGGGCTGTTGTGGAGAACTCGTCTTCCTCAACTCTCTGATCCCCTTCGTCATTAAGGTAAGGTTTTTCTCCATGAATGCAGAAACCTCGTCCTTTCTTCCAATTAAAAAGTCCTGGATAATTTGAAAAAAAAAAATATCAAGTTGGTCATGCGCCATCAAGATGCGATCGATTCCGTCCTGGATCAATAAATAGATTTTTGGTGTTTTTTTTTTACCCAGGACCTGCTTTGAAAGAGGGGGAAATAAAGAGATGACTTCTCCGGCTGTTATTAATTTCATTTCTTTGGAAAGAAATATCTGTAGCTTTCCATCAGCGATTTAAACCCCTGTATTGGGGTGGGGAAGCAAGAGCATTAAAAAAATCACCCAGAAAATATCTACCTTAGGAGAAAAAGGCCAGGCAAAACATTGACCAAGATTTTTTTAAAAGCTAATGTTGCTTTATTTTTATTGCTTGTGACAGTGACGAGGTTTGAGTCACAAACTTTGCTGAATGCTTATGGTTTTAGGGAGCTCATGGCTAACCCATCTTTGGGCCAGTCCTCCTCTCAGACCAGCCCACCTCACAGGGCTGTTGTAAGGCCAGAGATGAAGGTTGGAAGAGGAGGCTGTCTTACGTTCGCTCCCCTCGGACCCCTCGCCGCTTTAGGCCCGCGGGGGTCGCTCAACGGATCTCGGGCCTCCTTTTTCAGGTTAGGTCAGCCTCGGTTGCTTAGCAACGCGGGGGAAAACTCGCCGCGCGGCGCGATGACGTCAAGCCCTGCGACACGTGGGCCGCATGCGTAGTCGAGGCAGACGGGACGAGGAAGGGCACCTCCGAACGGGCGGCCCGGATTCGAGACTCCGCGCATGCGCCTGAGGGTTGCGCTGGATCGGCGTGGGTTTGGCTGGGAAGCCCGCGGGGGGATCTTAAGGATCGCTCTTTCCGGGCCACTGGATCAGGGATCGCGGCTGGGAATCCCATCCTTGCAGGTAAGGCAGAAAATCACCAGGTGCACCTTATCCATCTCTCTTTCCAACTCGATCCATAATAATAACAATAATACTTGCATCAACTGCACCGGTTGAATTGCAGGCTGGCTGTTGCAAGCAGCTGTTGTTGCAAAGGATGGGGATGTGAAACTCCTCCGGTCGGATCAGCTCCTTACAAAAACGGAGCAAAAACAGCTTTCCCTCTTGCAGCCAGCCTTGCAACGCTGCAGAAATTCAACAGGCGCAGCTTTGCTTGTTAGGTCACAAAAAAAGGATCATAGCCGTCATAAATATGAGACCGTTGCCAAGGATCTCAATTTTGATCATGTGACCATGGGCACCACGGTTGTAACTGTGAAAAACGATCTTAAGTCTCTTTTTTCCGTGCCATTGTAACTTCGGTCTCTAAACAAGCTTCTTGTAAATCAAGGAATTTGTTTTTATATTTATTGAAATCTGAATTAATTATAGGATTCGTTCCTATTTTTCAATTGGCTCACCTTTAAGCTTGGGTGGACTTCAACTCCCAGAATTCCCCAACTAGCATGGAGAAATAGGAAGGTGGCTGGCTTGGGGAATTCTGGGAGTTGTAGTCCACCCAAGTTTAAAAATTGGGTAACACTGCTTGTGTGAATTGCATCTCGGCTTCCCAGAGCCCATTTTTTCCCTTAAATAAATGCCACTTTATAACTGCAAAGTCTGCCTTTCTCTCTCTGCTCCTTCCCAGCAGCCATCTGGATTCTGTTTCCTCTTTTAAATTCGGATATTTTTTCCCGTTTTCTCTGCTGGAAGACGTCGTCATGGTACAACTCGGTAAGTTGGCATTACAGAATATTATATCTACATTCCCCTACAACAGTGATCCCCAAACTTGGCAACTTTAAGACTTCAACTCCCAGTATAGCCTGCTGGGTGACTTTGGACCAATCACCAGGAAACTGGGAGTTCTAGTCCTGCCTGAGCCATGAAAGCCGCCTGGGTGACTTTGTGTCAGTCTCGCTTAGCAACTGCCTCACTTAGCCACCGAAAGGTTGGCCTCCATTGTCGTCGAGGTCTCCCTCTATTGCTGACTGACGGTGTCTTCCACCAATGTTTCTCTCACCAGGGCGGCCCCTGCTGAGGAAATACCGCAACGTCCGCGTGGTCATCCGGATGTCCCTCGGCGGTTGCACGAACCGGCCTTTCTACCGGATCGTGGCCGCCCACAACCGGCGCGCCCGCGACGGCAAATACCTCGAGCAGATTGGCTGCTACGACCCACTGCCCAACCGCTACGGCGAGAAGATTATGGGGCTGAACTTCGACCGGTTCAAATATTGGTTTGCCTACGGAGCGACCCTGACCAAACCCCTTGAAAAACTGCTAGGTAAAGCCCCCTCCCCCCCTTTTTGGTTTCAGTTACGCCTAGTCCTCGGTTTAATGACCGCTTAACCGAGCCAAACATTTCTTGGAAGGTGCATTCCAGGGGAAAAAATCCCCTCAGGGGTCCTTCCCTGGGCTTGTAGTCCTGAGGAACACTTTTTCACCGGTAGCAAACGGAGCACAAAATTTCTGTCTTTAAGCGAGGCGTTGAATTTTGCCACGTTTTACGACTTTCCTGGCTGCAGTTGTTAAGTGAATCCCACTTCCCCGTTGAGTTTGCTCGTCAGAAACTCGTCAAAGGAGATCGCATGACTCCGGGACGCTGTGACCGTCATAAATACGAACCAATTGCCATAGGTCTGAATTTTGATCACACGACCAATGGTCGTGTGAAAAACGGTCTCAAGTCACCCTTTTTTCAGTGCCGTTGTAATTTTGGACACTAAACGAACTGCTGTAAGGTGAGGACTACCTGTATCAGCTCCGCTTTTCAAAAATCAAATTTGTAAAATATTTTTAGACGTTTTTGAAGAATACGGGGCGGTCCTTGACTTATGACCGTTTGTCGCACGCCCATTTTGAGAGCTCTCCTGTCACGAGCCCTCCCGTCACAACAGCACTGAAAAAGGGATCGCTAATCCTCGCAGATATGTCCGCAGTTGCCTGAACCTCAGTTACGACCGTTCCAAGCACCTTCCCACAAGCAAAGTCAGATTTTATTTATTTTATATTCATTTAAGAACATTTATAGGTCCGTTCAACTCGCTCTCAGTGACTTACAAAGATGAGGAAACCAACTCGCTTAATGACCACAGCAAAAATAGTTGTAAATTTGGGCGCACCCACGCGATGCCTCCCTTAATGGCAAATCTCCTGGTCACGATTGCTGTCGTAATTCAAAGACTCCCCATACGTTCGATATTTTTTCCTATTGTATTTGCAAAACAATGCATTTTTTAAATTTTAGTTTTTTTAAAAAAAAAATTTTTTTTTAGGTCTTTCTGGATTCCTTCCCCTGCATCCGATGACAGTCACAAACGCGGAACGGCTAAGGAAGAAAAAAGCCCAGGAGGCAGAGAAGGAGGCCGAAAACGAAGAAGGAGAAAAGGAAGATTTGGAGGAAAAGCGGGGAGAACAACAGCAACATTGAGTGAGAAAAACCTCACATTGCTGGAGACTGAAAGGATAATGTTGATTTTAGGGTGGTGGTTTTTTAACGCACGACGGTGTGACCTCGGTTTACAAAACCTCACCTTGGATTCTTACTCGTTTGAAGGAAAGTTGGCTCCTGTCTTTAAAAGAGGCACACACACCTTGTAGCGCGCACCAAAACAAAAGGTCTGGTTCGCACAACCTGGAACTCGTGTCTTCCTAGCCTGAGCGGCTTTTCATGCAATTAAATCCCAAATTTAAAACGAACCACAGAAAAGTTCGGATTCGATGCCGCTGTGGGTCGCGGCTGAGCTGCGGCCACATTTTAGCGGAATTCTAAATATGAATTTTCTGCAGTGTTTTTTAAAATAAGGTGCCCAGTAGCCTCAAGGCAGAAAGGTAGCTTTTTCCATAGAATTCGTAATTTTCCACACTTTCCGGCGAAACGAAAAATATGTCATTTTTCTGAAATTTTGAGATGGCAGCCGCCGCCGTCTTAGGTGTCGCAGACGATAGGTGTGGTGGTGGCAGAGAAAGTCGCTGCAGAAAGGCCGGGGGAGAAGGGTGCTTTGAGCCTGTCCCTCCTCAGCAGGGGTTTTGTAGTCATTCACCGTGCACATGAGCCAGCTGTGAGTGCGAGTTTTCCCATCCGGTTTCTAAAACCACCACTCTGTTTTCTCTGCGAGCTTTTTCGGCTGCGAACACCAAAAGGTGAGAACAGAGCGTCTCTTCGGCGCTGGTCAGAATTCGAGACGGGTCGTTTTCCTGTTGGAAACGGGGAAAAAAGGCTGCCATCTCGTGCTATGTAGCTAGTCCTCAACTTACAACCATTCATTTAGAGGCCAAAGTTAACAATGGCGGTGCAAAAAAAAAAGTTTCTTAGGACTTTTTCACACTTACAACCGTCACTGTATCCCTGTGATCAAAATTCAGGACATGAACTCGTATTTATGACGGTCGCACCGCCCTGGGAAGGGGTGTCACGCCATCCCCTTTTGCGACCTGAACAACGGCAGTGATTCATTTAACAACAGGGGCGTGAAAAGTCATAAAAGGGGGCAAAACTCATCAAAGTGTCTCCCTCAACAACAACAGAAATGTTGGTTTCCGTTGTGGTCGTAAGTCGAGGACTACTCGTGCTGGCTAGGGGTAGCTCACCTCATGGCAAGATGGCTGGCAGACCAATTTTAACAAATAAAAAAATAAATAATTGGATTTGTAGCCGGAAACTGCCACGCTGGGGAAACTTAATTCACCCTAGTAGAACCTGCACAGAGCACTGCAGTCTATCTGAGTTTTTCTATAATTCTTTTTTTTTTTTTAAATAAAGAGGGGAAAAAATAAAATGAAACTTCACCAATACGGCTGAGACGAAGTTGTGGATCAAGTAATAATCTGCACCGCAGTGACCATTTAAACAAGCCGGGATGTCGGGCATCGCTTGGGGAGAAAACGAGGTCTTTTTTTTTTGAAGGAAGTCGAAAATTTCCACGTCTCCCCCCTCCCCTTTGCAGGAAAGCTCGCCCTGGGAAAAAGACGAGAAAAGCAAATTATATTTTTGCAACTGGAAACGGCATGGGTGGGAAGAAAAGGGAAAATAAAATGACTGGGGAAACTCCAGGAAAAATTAAAAATAAACTGAGGGGGAGAATTTCTATTCCTGGCACAACAGTCCTGTAGAGTAGACCAGGCTGAAAGGCAGAAGTAATAAATAGGATTTTATCTGGCTTGCATCGCCTTCCTTACTTCCCTACTGCAATGACTGAGCATTGGGTGTGATGGCTTAAAACAATATCTCTTTAATTTTTGAGACTTTAGAAAGAGTGGGCTTCAATTCCCAGAATTCCCCAGCCAGCTTGGCTGGCTGGGGAATTCTGGGAGTTGAAGTCCACAAGTCTTGAACTCACAAAGATTAAGCGATAATATCTGATCGTATTTAAGCCCAGTTAGAGCCCAGCCAATCGTGGTTTATACTCATTCCACTATGCTTCAATAAATCAAGGTTTGATGCAATCTTGAGATTTGGAAGAAATATTTCCACTTCTAAAATAACCTGTCCATTTCCCAAGAAAAACCCAAATTAGCGTTTTGGGCCTCACCTTCGTTCCGTAAATGGTTGTCATCCGCACCCCAAGTTTTTCAGTAAACGCGACCATCGTGAATGCAGCCGTCGCTCCGCCTTCAAATTCCATATTGACCACCTGGGAAAACCATAAACACAGGCCATCCTTGACTTGGGAACACAATCATCATCATTGTTTAACGATCCCGTAATGTGGGATTATAGAGTGTCTGGGCAACTGAATGGAGCTAGCAGAGTGTTTTTACTGGCTGGATGCCTTTCCAGTCACCAGTGCGGAGTTTTCTTCAGCAAATATATTCTCATTCTGCCCAGAGAGAGAAATAATCTGCCTCTTATCTTGGATCAAACTCACAGGCTCCTGACTGTGAGGCAAGACATGAAGCAAAGTTAAGGAGCAGCGAAAAAAGCTTTTTGCCTGCTTACCGAAGGATGAATTCAGGGCGTACCTGGTGGCTAACCACATCGTTGTCACAATCGTAAACACATCTTCCGTACGGGCCGAGCCGCAAAGCCTCCGTCAAGGTTTCTATATCTGACCCACTGTTGCTGCAGACCACGGAGACTGGCCAGTGAAAAGCACCCTGTGGTGGTGATAATCAGCAGGGATGCAAGATTTGGGGAGATTTGGGGCACCCCCCCTCTGGTTGCGTGCTGAATTCACACATTGCACTCAACCGCAGAGGCCCAACACCCTGGTAATTCAATTTAGTTTTCAATTCAATTAATTTTTCAATGCAATTAAATTTTCAATGGAATTAAATATTCAGGTCAATTGAATATTCAGTCCAGTTAAATGCTCAATTCAATTAAATGTTCAATTAAGCATTCAATTGCTCAAATTCAATTGTGAATTCCATTTTAAATGCGATTCAGTTTTAAGTTGCAACATTGAATTCAATTTTAAAATGAAGTTAAATGTTCAATTCGATTTTCAATTCAATATTCAATTGCTCAATTCAATTGTGAATTCAATTTTAAACCCAACTCAAAGTTTTAAGTTAAAACGTTTAATTCATTGTTAAATGAAGTTAAAGGCTCAATTAAATCTTCAATTACTGTAATTGCTCAATTAAATGCAATTGTAAATCCAATTTTCACTGATTTTTCAGTTAAAACTTGAATTCGATTTTAAATTCAGTTCAATTCAATCTGGATCAGCATTTTTCCAGTATGCCAACTTTTAAGAGGTGTGGACTTCCACACACCTTTAAAAAAAAAAACTTCAAAGAGTTTAATTTCCTTCTATGAGTTACAATGACAATAAAGTAAACTAAAACTAAACTTCTTGATTATGCAAATAAAGGAATTGGAGGCTCAAACTGGCTTATGATCTAATTCACCTTTTCTGCACGTTCCAGGTAGATTTTCCGCGCAGAATACGGGCAGTTTGGTTCCACTGAACAGTCCAAACAGCGATGGCCGGCTCCTTTGGGCTGGAATGAAATCAAAATAAAAGACAAAAATAAGGAAATGTGCAATTGTAAAATGAGGATCGTGTGTGTGTTGCATATGAGTGTGCATACATGCAAATTAGTGCAACATTTGCACTGAATGTCTGACCCCACAATCAAGAACTGTTTTAACGAATGGAAATCATTTCAATTTAAGCCTTAAACATGTAGTTTTAATTCAATTCAATTAAAATGGTTTGATCATTTAATTCAATTCTTGTGCCACCCCCATCAAAACAAAATACAACAGCAACCGTTGACAAACCTTGTTCTCTTTTGTGAAATGCGACAGGTGGCCAAAAGAGGAAACTTGTAAACATCTGAAAGGACAGGAGAGAGAAAGAAAAAATATTTGAAGGTTTAATCACAGGGGCTGTGTCAAAGTCTCTAGTCCTCAACTTACAACAACCCAACATTTCTGCTGTTAAGTATGACACTTTTAAAGTGAATTTAAAGTCAAGTCAAGGACCACCTGTATTGTGGACAGATGTTATATTTTTCCAAAAATGTGACTGCACATCTCTTGTAGCACAAAAGAGGAACAATTTCAATTAAGGGCTGAAAATGATAATGTTAAAAAATACCTTTGCAGACATGGCGAGAAAAGCTAAAAGCACATCACTCTTTTCATTCTGTGAAGCCCAAAGTGGGCAGATCATGCTAAATGCTAACTGCCACCCAACTTCCAAGAAAAATGGTGACCAAGAGGATTACTTTGACGAGTAAAATTTCTATGGGGGGAAAGAGAGAGAGAGAGAGACAGAGAGAGAAGGTAAAATACTCCTACCTTTTCCTCCCCATCCAAAAATTGATCAGGTCGAAATCATGGCAGGATTTAGCCAATAAAGAGAAAGAACTTTCAGTTTCGTTTCTCCAATTCCCGCGGACGAAGGAATGGGCAAAATGCCAGAAACCTATCTAGAGTGGGGGGAAAAAAGGCAATTGATACACTAGAAAGGCTGAAAATTAAAAAGCGTGCATTTTGATAGCCGTTAATGCAGTTTTAGGGCTACTTTGGCCTTGGTGTCAACAAGCTATGAATCTTGGTTTCTTAGTTCTTTTCCTCTAACTGTAGAAAGCCAAGCTGGTTTATCTGCCAGGGCTTCATACCCTGAAGACTTGTAAGTTCAAATCCCCTTAGCAAGATTCACATACCATAGTCCTCGACTTACAACAAGCTCGACTTAGTGGCCGTTCAAAGTAACAACGGCAGAGAAAAACATTAACGTAGGACAGTTTTTTCACACTTATGACCATTGCACCATTTTGACGTGATCAAAATTCAGATGCTTGGCGCCTTAACAACTGTATTTCTAACTTAAATAACCACAGATTCACCTAATGGCCGTGGCAAGGTAGGTTATAAAATGGGACAAAACTCATTTAACAACCGTCCTGCTTTGCAACAGAAATGTTGGCTTCCACTGTGGGTCGTAAGACAAGGATTACCTGTATATAAGATCCTTATAAGCAGTGGGACAACCTACATTTGACGTGTTCCCAACAAGAACTAACAACCAGTTAGGCAATGCTGCCTAGTGGTTAGAGTGATTAATCTGAGCATGGAACTTAAGGGGGGGAGGGGTGGCTTTAAGGAACATAAAATCTCAAACCTGGAAGAAAAAAACGTGTATTAAAAAAAATAAAATTGGAGAAGGAGATACAACGGGAGCGAAGGATACACTTTCGACATAAATTCCTTTTTATAAAATAATTCTTACAGGTTCCAGATGTTGAATATGGCAGATGTCGCCGATCAAGCCAGCGTCTAGCAATTCCTAAAAAGAAAAAAAAGCTTGGTTTCTATTTTTTTTTTCCCCTTTTCTTTTTTTATGTGTGGGTTCATGAAAGCTGTTCTGTTCTCTTCGGCACCTGTAAAAAAAATAATAATAATGGCAATTTTGAGAAGGGGCATCTGAGCCTGTTTTTTTTCCCCTCCTCCCTCCTGTTCTTCTCTTTTTCCGTGTGTGCTACGTCTTTTAAATTAAATTATCTGTTAAAAGATAATTCCTCCAGGCCTTCGGCCTTTGGTGGGGAAAGAAAAACCTCAGATTCAAATCTTGGTCCCTCTTATCTTCCAGTTAACATCGCCAGCCAAGTCAGCTGTTGGAAAGAGAGCGCCATCATGCTGTCGAGACAAGAGAGAGGTCATCTAGTCCAACCCCGCTCCCCAAGTTGAGTTCTTAAGAATACATCACCTTGATCTTCAGGGTGACCGGATGGTAACGGAGCACGTGACATACAGCAAGGATGACGTGGTTACTTTCGCACACCCGGACGACCTCTATGCAATCTTCGGCCGTCACCTAATTCATGAGTGAAGAATTTTTTAATAAAATAAAAATAAAATAAAATGATGAAATGAAATACAATAAAAATTAAGTTAAATCCAAAGCAAAGCAAATCACAACCCATCAGTCTGCTTCAGCTCTGAAAAGTTAGGATTTTGATTGGAAGACCTTTTTAAAATTATCTTTATTTATTTAAGGTCAGGTTTCTATTTTTTTTCTCTCATTTCTTCCTTTCCCATGCTGGTTTTGTATAGAATTTTCCCCTAAATATTTGTTTCGTTTGGACAAATGCACTGTTTTCTCATTGCATGAGGGGTGCGTGCAAAACAGCGACAAAACCTGGGAGTTTTGCAACAGTGATTTGGAGGGTTAAAAAAAACAGAGATTCCTCCTCTAGGCTTAGGGTTTGATAAATATACTGCTAGAAATATACTTTGCATCAATATTAATAATTCCCAATTATGTTAATGTAATATTATTAACAATATTCGTAAGTCCAAATATTTGTATTTTAGTCATTGCCAGAACTTACCGCCATGGGTTTTTCTAACAAGATGTGATATCCCTTTTGGGCAAAAGCTACTGCAGGTGCCTGATGGAATAATAATAATAATAATAATAATAATAATAATAATAATAATAATAAT